ACAATTGTAATTTTCATTAAAAAAAAAAAGATGGCAATTTTTGTTATCCACAAAATCGCCCTTGTTAACAAGCAAACATATGTTTAATCACAATATGTTGATTTAATAAAAAAAAAATGTTTTTTTTATGGAAATAAAATACGTTAAAAAAAAAATAAAAACGCAAGTGAGAATTGTAATTAGGACATTCCTTACAGAATCGGTAACACGAACAGATTTTCAGGTGTCTGCACAACGAAATTGTTTGTTTTTCTTTGTAATAATAATAAAAAAAATATTAAAAAAATTGATAAATTTTCGGCAAAATATCCTGAGATAAAATACGACAATGTTTCAGAAGAGTATTTCAACTGAGGGGAATCGGAATAATATAAATGTCAATATCTTTACGGATTTATTCCAGGATCTACTGTTTCCCTGTCGCTAATACAAAGTGATCTAGCTTGAAATAACGGAGAAATAATACTTATAGTAGGAGTACTACTATTACTACTACTACTAATAATAATAATAATAAATACAAAATAAGATCATTTTGACGACATCATTATTACAATCAATTGGAATATTAATATATGCTGTTACTCGATTTCTAGCAACAGGAGCAGAAAATTCTTCACATTCACAGTAGATATTGTTAAGTAAAAAGTAATTGTTGACGTAATGGAATGAAGGTGATTATTTAAAACTAGAACTTTCCCTTCCATTCTGTGAGTGTCTCATAAGGCCTTCCAGATATAAGGTTATCAATTTCGGGTCATGTCAATTATTATTTTATTTTTTATCAAATTTGTTCATTTGTAAAATTTACCGACTCTTGTTTCAGGTTTTCATTCTTCATACTGAAACCATTAAATTAATTTTGAAACTTTACCATTATGAGGAAAAGATGGAAAAGAAAAGTCTACAAAATAAACCAAAAATAAGAATCATAAAGGTTGGGTAAAATTCTTTTGAATCAATAAAAAAATAGTGGTAAATGTGCCAAATTTTATATCATTTTAACACCTCACTGAAAGGCAATAATTTTGACCCGCACTGTGTGTCCTAAACTTGTGACCCTACGTTATACTAAGCTTAATAAACGCATTAAAGCTTAAAATATAAAATAAACATAATGCAATGGAAATTCGGCAGAGGGTTAAGTATAATATATTATACGAAAAAAAATAATATAACGTCAGTTTATCGACAAATGTGTTAACACCTCATAAAAACATCTAACTCCGTGTTAAAAAATGCTTTTCTGGGATATTTTAAACTAAAAGTAATGTTTGTTTAAATTCAGATTAATTAAACTTTAAATAAGATAATTTTTGTAAAATAATGTTTCAGAAAAGTATACTTTATTTTAAAATCATTTTTAATAAAGAGAATTATGTTTTGTAGACAGGTTTGTAAATAAGGAAAAAATTCAATCCAATCAATGTAAATTCAATTTGACATACAGTAAACTACTTTACTTATTGGAAATATTAAATTTATTCTATTAGTTTGCAATTAAAACTAAAATAAAAAAAATTCAAGAAAGAATTTTTTCATTTTTGAAATGCATTTTAAACCTTAGATATCGTTTTTGACAGGTACCTATAACAATATTATTAATACAATATTCTTTACACAGGGTTTCATGTGGTAACAGTTATCGGGCAGATAAAATATCTTATCCACCAGATGAGTGTTGCTGCATATGCATAAGAATTAATAGATGTTATTGTTTTAATCCGACATATTTAAATTACTTCAAACTTTATTTTTAGTGGGTACCTGTATTTGAGTATTTATTTCGTCTACCAGCTTGCGTACTAGAAAAAGGTTAATGAGGCTACATCATTATATATATATATATCTCCAAGTATAGGATTGGTGTATACGGAATAAATTCCAATAACCAAAAAATACTATTCTTAAAAGAGTGCTCAATAAAAAGTAGAGCAAATATAATTTATACAAAAATTATAACCTAAATTTTATAAAATCACTACAAAAATAGCCATTTCGTTTCAACACGTCTGGTGTCTTATCCAGTAATGGTGTCGAATTCAACACCATCACTTGTTAAGACACCATAAGTGTTGAAACAAAATGGCTATTTTTGTAGTGATTTTATAACATTTATATTTTCGAATAAATTATATATATAATTTATTAATTGCGAAAATATTGACTTGCATCATGAAATTTAGCATCGTGTATAATTTCCCGTCGGAGGATTTACGAGGCATCTGTACGATAGTCCTAAATCCTAATCGTCACATAATTATTCCAAACATTATCATTAATATGAGTAGCACTATCTGGCAAGAGACTTCACTCGTGAGGAGCTTGAAGATGAACTAACTCGGCCCGTTAAGAAGGACCTTCGAAATATTACTCTGCATCAGGTGCATCGAAAATATATTTTTTTAAACCTAGTTAGATACAGTTGCAATCAAGGGAGCAAACTCATTTGACTAACAAATATTTTGTGAGACTACCAAGCAAACCATGTTTCTGTGTCAGACGCCCTTTTGCGCCGTGTCCCTTCAAGACGTGGGTGATCATATCCTTTGTAGCCCTTAGTAAGGCTTGTCTTTTCACTATCCCTCCCAGTCATCCATTCTGTCAGCCATTTTCACTAGTTTGTTAGGCAGGTTACACGCTGCTTTCCTCTCTCCCTGTTGCCTTCAATGTGTCCAGTGAGTATCAAATTCTCCAAACCTGAATATCTTCCTTATATGTCCTGTAAACTTAAACTGTCTCTTCCTGATTCTAAGTATAACACCTTTTTTGTTTCTATCTTCCTTAAAGCTTCTTCGTTGCTCACATATTCCTTCAGTGGTATTCTCACCATCCTTCTGTAGAACCACATCTTCGTTGTCTCAAGTCTCTTCTTCATCAGGAGATTGTCATATCGGAAGATTGATATTACATAACAGTTCAGTATTTTTTTTTGTTTCTAACGAAATTTTCCTTGTAATACTTTGCTTAGCTTTTGGAAGGCAACTTTCGCGATTCCAGTGTGCCTACGCGAGTATATACGGTGAATTAATTTTTTTTATTACACTCTTTGATTGAATGCCCTCACGATATGGATGCCCGGGGCTATCGCACCCTCTGGAGTAGGGGAATGCAAAGGCTTGGTGATGTTCGGTAATGTCTGGAGCCAACTCCTTGATTGTATACCCCTAAGACTCAATTGGGGTGGGAGATAGAGGGCCAAGTAGTGAGAAATGTGAGAAAGGAAGGCATTTTAAGTATGTAAAAACAGATGAAACATGAAATAAACACTATTCAAATTAAATATACCGTATATACTTGCGCATTATGCAGCTATTGAAGAACTAATTTTGAAGCTAATTTTAAGTGGGTCGTATCATACACGAGATATAAAATTAGCGTATCTACTGCTGGCCCTGTTGACGCCGTTGACCAAATAATATATCCATTTACTGTAGTCAAATTAGCTTCAAAATTAGGTCCTCAAAAGTCGCATGATACACGAGTATATACGGTAAACTAAATTTATATTACACTCTTTCATTAGATGTCGCCACGATATGGATGCCCGAGGCCATCCCACCCTCTGCCCAATCTTCTGCACGCTACTGCCTATAGTGTATGCAATAAATGCTATATTTCTGGTTAAAGAAAGAATGAAACAATTGAAAAATGAACAAAAATGAAGTTTTCCCATAGTGAATATTATGTAAAGGCTATCATTTATGGAGGACAATCTTATCGATCTTGAAAAAAAAGAGAGGAAGAGTTTGCAATTTAAATATCACTGGACAATAAAAATATTTTGTTTTCTACTCAGATAAACGATTAAACTGGATACGCTAAAACTGAAATCTTGTAAAATCTGATACTGATTATTGACGGCAAGAGAGAAAATGTGTGTGACTTATCTAATGAGCTTGTGTAAATGAATAGCAGAACAGGGAGTGAGAAGGATACTAAAAAGACAAACGTTGCTACAAAAGATAGGAAGTTGTGGAGAGTCATAATCGCCTATGTTCTGAATGGTAAATAGAAGATTCAGAAATCCTCCTGTACGTCAAGTTTTCCGTCCACTGTTAGGAATTTGTCTGGGCTTTAGTTTGAAGCTGTGTCACAGCGAAATGGTTTACAGGATAAACCTGTTAACCACTGCAATATGGTAACCACTTAAAGATATTTAATAATCATGGCTTAGTCTAACAAAGCTATGATAGTGAAATGTTCAGTTAGAAGCAACTGCTTTGTGGGACGGTTTCCCGAGAAGACATTTCCCCGACCACTAAAATCTTAACCTTTTAAAATACATACGAGTTATTTCCCAAATGTTCGGGGAACTTAAAACGTCAAATAGGTTATTAAAAAATAAATAGAACATCATTTCTTTTTTATTTATTCGTAAGTCGAGTGATTTTGAGAGGTATGTGAATTTTTTGGCGAGAGACAGGAAACTTTGTGTAAACGCCTGGCTGCCTTGAAAAATCAACATTCGAAATGATACACTATTTACATTATTCGGACTATTGTCCTCATCTTTGTTACCATATTTATCACAAAGTTTCGGCCGTTGTACGCTCCGGCCTTCTTCAGGTGGTTGAAATGTCGAACTGAACCCTTTATTTCGCTCGCTGGGGTAGACTGTTCTACGTACCATGTCTAATGGATGTCAATTATCCTTAAGTGGATAAAGGCGTTGGTTAGATCCAGTGACAGGACGCAAAGAATCCTGAGTTCTATACCTGGTTAAGGCAGTGGAGAACTTGGAGAGGTGAATTAACAGGAGATAACTGATAACTGACATCCATTAAGCATGGCACGTGGAACTAGAACAGCCTACCCCAGCGAGCGAAATAAAAGGTTCAGATCTATATTCCAACCACCTGAAGAAGGCCGGAGCGTACAACGGCCGAAACGTTGTGATAAATGTGGCAACAAAGATGAAGACAATAGTGTACATAATACCTCATCTCAGAAATATAGACAGATACATTCGAAATCTTTTTTCCTTGGGGGGGGGTGGCTATGGCCATATCATGTTGAAACGCCATTTCTCGTGCGATCACCAAAGTTAAGCAACGTCGAACCCGATCAGTACCTAGATGGGTAACTGCTTGGGAATATCACGTGCTGTAAACTTGAATGTACGGGTTGTGTAATGGACAATTTCTCTGAATTGTTAATTGGAGAACCAAGTTCTAATTCAAGTTGGGCTTATTTTATTCCTTTACGTGCAAATATGCTTGAGAAAATTATAAATCAACCTCTTCTCCACCCCCCCATGTATGGTTTAATTAATAAGACTTGCATTACTAAAATCAATATTATCTTTAAAAAATATTGCGTACAAAATATTTACATTTCGCCATTAAATAACCTAAACAAAAACAGCCGACCAAATACCCTTATGAAAACCACTCCTTCTCCCCCAGCTATGGGTTAATGAGAAAGACTCGTATCACTAAATCATTATCACCCCTACCCCAAATTCTTACAATCTAAAATAAAAAAAAATATTTTCTATCTTTAAATAAGCTCCAAAAGGGTTGATAAGCCGTAGAAAATGAACGAATGAATCAATTTTCATTTATTTCTTTTCCTTTTTTAATACCAGTGCAAAAAAGAGAGACCGCTGGCGAAATTAAGCAGCATTCTGATTCTCTTAAAAGCCGCCTGCGTATTATTACAAGTTTGGATTGGGTTCGTTCAGGAACCCTGTTGATGGTGCCAAGCTTAAAAAAAAACAAAAAAACAAACAAAAAAAAACAACAAAAAAACAACGTTTGAACTATGTAAGATATAAATATGGCAAACAACATTTGAAGTTTCCAAAAGCTAAAAGATGAGAAGATAAAAATTTACTTGTAGGCATCTTTTTTCTTTCTCATGTGGGTGGTATGTAAAAAGGAAGAGAAAGAAAGAGAAAAAAAAAAGAAAGAAAGAAAGAAAGAAAAGTGGTTCTCATTACGCTGAACTCCGACAAGAAGAAATTCTTGCAAACCATATCGTTATTGTTTTTATTGTAAGATTACCCTCAAAATTACCAACGCACAGTCGTCACCAAAGATATATTTCACGATATATTCGCAAACATGAAGCGGGTAGCTAGCTTCGACTATACTGACAGATATCTTCAGAAGATTCCAAAAATATTACGGGGTTATGTTGCAGAATATTCCAGAAATTATTTCTTTTTGTTCGATCGTATAGGCATTGTCGATCGGGTTAATGAAGAAATAAATTTTTCATATTAAATTAAAAAAAAAAAAAAAATGCAGAAATCCTTACGAACACGTGTGTTCAGTTCTGATAAAACTGGTCACTAAAGGTGAATCTATTTAAATGTGTTAGAAATTCTTTAGTGGCTGAGGTAGTTGCGCCTTTCCCACTTCCTGTTTTCGTACTTTTGACGCCAGCTGACGAGGTCTTTTAAAAGGAAAATGGTAAACTGAACTAAGGAGGTGAAAACTCAGTAACAAGTAACAATAACTAGAAAATACAGTGTAACCCGGATATAAGAGAAATTTTCTCTGGTCCCAAATTAGAGCCTGTGTTAATGTATACATATAGACCAAACCCGGATATAAGAGACTTCTTCTCCGGTCCCGACAACTCTCTTATATCCGGGTTGCACTGTATATTAAAAACTTACAGAGGAAAACCTAATAAGAATAATAAAAAAGCTTAAAATATGCGGTTATTTTTTATAGTATATAATTGTACTGGACATAAAATGGAGGATCTGTTTTCTGTTCCTATTAAGTAATATAACGGTTAATAATAATAATTAACGGTTGGCCACTCGTATTAGTGAATACTCGTCCACTAGTGGGGGGGTAGCTAATCCCTATTGCAGACGGTGACTCAGGCACATTTGTGTTTGTTCAACACCCACAGAATACACCTGTGATTTATACTGCAACTATGCTGAGCAGACCTTAGTTACAGTTTATGGGAGAGAAGCATATTATCTAGCGTGATCAATAATCTGAATAAAGCCAGCAGGCTCAAGTCCTTGATCACGATGACTTGTGACTTCGTGCTAGCACAGCCATTGACAGCCACCCCACCAGGGTTGCGTCTACCCAATTTCACTCACAATTGTAGATTGGGTCAGCCCGTGGTATGGTTTTCAGGCACTTTCCGAAGATACTGCACGCTGGGATCGCCTCCTCCAGACGGATAACATCAAGAAGTCGCCTTCCTGACAAATTTACCATGGGTAACATGGTCAGAAAGCGAACGTTCTACGTTCCAAGTGCCCACAACAACAATACTAATAATAATAATGTAAAAATCTAATAGTAAGAAGAAAAAAAAATGCTGTCATTTGGCCAGAATAGATGAAGTTGTAAATTTGAAGTAACCCTCTGCCATGAGTGGCTCTCGAACCTTTTATTCAGTGAATTCTAGTGTAAGAAAGTAAGAGAATTTAACCTTTTGAACTTTGGGATAAGTAAAATATATCGGCAATTTTTGTCGATATATATATCAGTGGCTAGCACAAAAAATTAATCTTTGCTCACTTAGCATTTCGTTTCTAAAACTAATTTACTAGGTCAAATCGGGCTAGAGGGATATAATCTTTCTGTATGGGTTTATATATTCAATAATAATAGCCATTATAATAAACCATTACTGCATAATGTTTACTTAAAATTTTACTTCTTTTTTGGCTAATATATTAGGTTGGTGCAAAAATAATGACGTAAGAATGTCGTTTTTTGACGTTAAAAAATACGTCAAAAAAAGACATTCTTACGTCATTATTTTTGCACCAACCTAATACCTTGGTGACTAATGGTAATTTTAGGGATGGCAGATTTTAAATTTTACGTCCCCCCCACTCTAATTACTGACCACTTTCTGAATTTAATAATGAGTAAGTTTCATGCCTTCTTTTGTATAATTAATTCCTCCGATGTTAGAAACGCTGAAACTATTCAATTCATTAGTGTATGGTGTTCATTTTTGATACAATTTAAAATCCGTCAGCCACCAAAGTAGATTAAATCCCCGCAATCTAAAATGTTAAGGAAACTATCAGCAGTAATGGGCTAATTTTCATTGTTATAAATGTTGAAAAAGATAAAATTACGTTGGCCCGAAGTGAGCTAGTAAAGTAATTTTGAAAAGGGTACGTAGCCTTTAATTGTTAAGTGATTCTCTCGAAATGCAGTGGTTGGCTCAAAGTCTTGGCCTGGAGTCAGAGGAATGCAAAGGCTTGGTGATGTTCGGTAATGTCTGGAGCCAACTCCTTGATTGTATACCCCTAAGACTCAATTGGGGTGGAGGATAGAGGGCCAAGTAGTGAGAAATGTGAGAAAGGAAGGCATTTTAAGTATGTAAAAACAGATGAAACATGAAATAAACACTTTATTCAAATTAAATATACCGTATATACTTGCGCATTATGCAGCTATTGAAGAACTAATTTTGAAGCTAATTTTAAGGAGGTCGTATCATACACGAGATATAAAATTAGCGTATCTACTGCTGGCCCTGTTGACGCCATTGACCAAATAATATATCCATTTACTGTAGTCAAATTAGCTTCAAAATTAGGTCCTCAAAAGTCGCATGATACACGAGTATATACGGTAAACTAAATTTATATTACACTCTTTGATTAGATGTCGTCACGATATGGATGCCCGAGGCCATCCCACCCTCTGCCCAATCTTCTGCACGCTACTGCCTATAGTGTATGCAATAAATGCTATATTTCTGGTTAAAGAAAGAATGAAACAATTGAAAAATGAACAAAAATGAAATTTTCCCATAGTGAATATTATGTAAAGGCTATCGTTTATGGATGACAATCTTATCGATCTTGAAAAAAAAAAAAGAGGAAGAGTTTGCAATTTAAATATCACTGGACAATAAAAATTGTTTGTTTTCTACTCAGATAAACGATTAAATTGGATACGCTAAACTGAAATCTTGGAAAATCTGATACTGATTATTGACGGCAAGAGAGAAAAAGTGTGTGACTTATCTAATGAGCTTGTGTAAATGAATAGCAGAACAGGGAGTGAGAAGGATACTAAAAAGACAAACGTTGCTACAAAAGATAGGAAGTTGTAGAGAGTCATAATCACCTACGTCCTGAATGGTAAATAGAAAATTCAGAAATCCTCATATACGTCATTGTTTTGAGACATGCGTACAGCATATTTATTTTCGGGGAAAAGCATTACATTTAAGCTAAAGAAAAATTTACATGGCGATGTGTAATAACCGAAAAAAAAAATATATATTCACTTTAATTCTATTAACTTCTGAAATGTTTGTGATACTTGCTTTTGCGCCTGAACGTTGAGCTGGTCTCTGATTGGAGGAATCAGCAGTAATCATCTCCCACGTTTACGATGAACCGGCCTTGATAACTTGAGTCTATCTCTGATATGACCTGGTGGAACCTCTCATCATTCTTATCGCTGACAGCGCCCAGATTCGTTAGGAAGAAATCGAGAAGTGAAAATGGACGATTTGCATTTTTTTTTGAGCTGTCATGCATGTCATGCTTTGATGTACACTTAACATATTGTTTATTAAATCAACATTGTTTTGTGCTACTAATAAGAATGAATTCCATCCCGCCAACTCAACACAATATGAATATATTTACCTTGAATATAAATATCCAATGCACATATCTCAAAAGTATAATGTGTATGGCTATTTTACCTGCAGATTTAGAATTATCATTATTAAAGTTGTTCCAATAACTGGGACCGATTTTAAATGTGAATTAAGTTTAAGCGTCTAATGATTTTTTTCTTTTTCTTTCAGAAGTCTTTGGCAATTTCAGCCATGGAAAGATTAACAATCAAACAACGTGTTAAAGCTTCAAGAGTGAAAAAAAAAAAAAAAAAGCTTCATCGAAGAATGAGATATGGAGATGAAAAAAGAAATTCTGGTATTTTTATTTTTGTACTTGATTTTCATTGGTTAATCAGGTTTCACGTGCATTTGACTTGTTAAAAGTTAGTATAATTTATGGCATTCCGAATTCAAGGAGAGAGGACGCGTCCTTTCGAAGCTCCAAAAAATTACCGGGTTTTTAAGATGATAGTCTATATTCGTAAGTGTGTATGCGGGTGTGGTAGACATTATGTTTAGTAATTATCTGT